ACTGTTGTTTAGAAAGTCCTTGTGACATGGCGATAGTGGAAAGTTAAAATCGACTGTTGTATAGAAAGTCCTTGTGACATGGCGATAGTGGAAAGGTGCAAAAGCCAGGGGGAACACTGGGTGGTTGCGAGTGAAATTAGCTTACAGTTAGTCCCTAGTGAGAACAAATCGCTCTACAGTAGAGGCTCTACAGACTAGCTAATGTCTAGCCAATCAGGACACGGTATCCAAATGATGTACCGTGGATATGGCTGGCTATCTACATGTGAGGAAAAGCGTCTACCCACCACGGTACATAGTACATCTATACAGTGAATTACAGAACATATTTTTGGCAAATACAGCAGTGGAACTGTTTTACATTTATTCGGGGAATGGCTCTTCGTGCTAAGTGCACCTGGATACTCCATTTGGTTACATGGTACTTCATGTCTGTGGACCTATAGCGTTGCACCCGGCTACTGTAGTATCGTAAGCTTACCAGCTCAAGGTTGAGACACCTCTCAACGTTGAACTTGCCACCTTGGTAGGGATCTCGCCTCGCTTTGCCATTCTTAAAAACTCCTCCAGTATGAAGGTTGTGCTTGCGCTTGCGACGTTGCCGTACGTGACCGGAGTTAGGGACTTCAATGCGGAAGCAAAAGTTCTTGTGGATGCAATGTCCATCGACGAGGTGATCGGCCAAATGACGCAGGTGAACATTGCCTATGTCATCGAAGACCAGAACGAGAAAAAGGTAGTCGATCCATCCAAAGTCGCGGATCTGGTCAACCACCGCATTGGGTCGTACTTGAACTCGCCCTTCGCCACGTCGACGTCGGACAACTCAAGTGGGTGGAACGTCGCCGAATGGCGCAGCGCGATCAGTCAGATCCAGACCAAGCACATCACCGAGACGGACCACCCCATCATTTATGGCGTAGACTCGGTGCATGGCGCTACCTACGTCCAGAATGCCGTGCTGTTTCCCCATCAAATCAACGTCGGCGCCACGTTCGACCCAGCCTTCGCCAGCCAATTGGGGGAGTTCGCTGGGCGCGATACCCGAGCCGCGGGAATTCATTGGATCTTTGGGCCGACCTTGGAAGTCGCCCGCCACAAAGGCTGGCCGCGCATCATGGAGACGTTCGGAGAGGATCCGACGGTCGTGGCGGACATGGGGCGAGCCGTAGTGCAGAGCATCCAGAAAAGAAACGTGGCCGCATGCTTCAAGCACTACATCGGGTACTCAGGCAGCCAGTCGGGAAAAGACCGCGAACCCGTGAGCCTGACCAAGCACGAGCTGCTCAACATCTTCATGCCGCCGTTCAAAGCCGTGATTGACGCCGGGGTCATGACCGGCATGGACTCGTTCATTGCGTTGAATGGCGTCCCCACCTCTGCGAACCGGCAAACGTCCATCGACTTGCTGCGCACGGATTTGAAGTTTGACGGGTTCTTGGTGTCGGACTGGGAAGAGATTTACATGATGCAGTACTTCCACAGCTATTCGGACAGCAGAGAGGACTCCGTGTTCAAAGCCATGTCCAACTCGTCGCTAGATATGAGCATGGTTCCGAACGACGCGAGCTTCGTTCCGATCATGAAAGAACTTCACAGCAGTGGAAAGGTCTCCGAAGATCGCATTCGCACGTCAGCCCAACGCATTGTCAAAGTCAAACTGCAGCTGAACCTTTACGACGACCCCGTGCCTGGCGCGGACTTGGCCAATCTCGTGGGCGATAAAATCAGTCAAGATGCCGCCTTGGAAACGGCCAAGGCGTCGCTAGTGCTGGTCAAGAACACGAACGACGTGCTGCCACTAGATCCCGCCAAATCCTTCTTCTTCACGGGGCCCTCCATTGACGACATTGGGCTCCTTTGCGGAGGTTGGACCATCCGCTGGCAAGGGGTACAGGGCACCAGCAACTTCCCAGCGTACGGTAAAACGATTCAAGCGGCCATGAGTGCCGTGGTGGGCGATGACTCGCGAGCTCAGTTCTACCAAGGTGTCGACATCACTGGAAACTCCCAGTCGTGGGACATCGATGTGGCCAAGGAGAAGGCAAACGCCGCCGACTATACTGTGATTGCGCTGGGAGAACGTTCTTATGCCGAACTGCTGGGCAACACCGACCCGTATGAACTGCCCAAGGGACTGACCGACTACGTCGAGGCTCTCTCCAACACGAGCACCAAAATCATTTTGGTGCTGGTGGAAGGACGCCCTCGCTTGTTGAGTGGCATTGCAGAGCTCGCTGCAGCGGTACTGTATGCGGGTTTGCCCTGTGAATTGGGTGGGGAAGCCATCTCGAGCGTGCTGTTTGGTAGCACAAATCCCAGCGGCAAGTTGCCGTTGACGTACCCTAAATCCGCAGACCAACTCAACTTGGCCACCCCGTACTATGGGCGTATTGGTGACGATTGTGTCATGGGTGAAGTGTCGACAAGCTGTCCGGTGGAATGGCACTTTGGGCACGGGTTAAGCTACACATCGTTTAGCTACTCGGATGTTCAGTTGTCAGCCACGAACCTGACGCCATCGTCGAGTCAGACGACGGTGACTGTCACCGTCAAAAACGAGGGCAAAGTGACCGGCAAGGAGTCGGTGCTCTTGTTCGTGTCGGCACCCGGGGGTCCCGAAACGAGGTTGCTCAAAAAGTACACCAAGGTCGAGCTGACGCCAGGGCAAGCCACGGACGTGACTTTTACGCTCTCTCCGGATGACTTTGGCAAATACGTCAACGAAATCGGTAGTGGGCTGCTCAAAGAGGCGACTGCTGGGACTTACTACGTGTCACTCAAGTACGACACCCATTGCAACGCAGACACCCTTGGTCCCCTCTGCAAATCGTTCACATGGAACTCAACTCCCCCAGCCCCTATTCAAGACCTCATTCCAGGAACTCCCCCAGCCCCTATTCAAGACCTCATTCCAGGAACTCCCCCAGCCCCTATTCAAGACCATATTCCAGAAGGCTGCGGGATTTTGTGAAAGTAGAGCTGAAGTGGAAACTCGGAACTCCATAACTACTATACTATATACCTAGTATATACTAGTCGTGCTTCATGAAATTTGACAAGTACATTTTTAAATGAATGTACTAAAAAATAACGTGGCAGTTATTGTGAATTCGGGAAATCGCGACGACCGGTTTCGCCTGGGCAAAACTCGCAAAACGTAATATATTTTGAATGCAACTTTGGGCAGGTCTTGATTTAAAATGAATATAAA